TATATATATATAGGTATATATATATATATATACCTATATATATATATATATATATATATATATATATATATATATATATATATATATATATATATATATATATATATATATATATATATATATATATATATATGTCGTACCTAGTAGCCAGAACGCACTTCTCAGCCTAATATGCAAGGCCAAATTTGCCTAATAAGCCAAGTTTTCATGAATTAATTGTTTTTCGACTACCTAACCTACCTAACCTAACCTAACCTAACTTTTTCGGCTACCTAACCTAACCTAACCTATAAAGATAGGTTAGGTTAGGTTAGGTAGGGTTGGTTAGGTTCGGCCATATATCTACGTCAATTTTAACTCCAATAAAAAAAAATTTACCTCATACATAATGAAATGGGTAGCTTTATCATTTCATAAGCAAAAAATTTGAGAAAATATATTAATTCATGAAAACTTGGCTTATTATGCAAATCAGGCCTTGCATAGTAGGCTGAGAAGTGCGTTCTGGCTATTAGGTACGACATATATATATATATATATATATATATATATATATATATATATATATATATATATATATATATATATATATATATATATATAGACCAACAAAACTAAGTCTTAGTGTTTAATGTTGACCAAACCACACACTAGGAATTGAAGACGGGACCATTATCAAGTCGATTGTGATGAAACAAATCTGAATCTTAGTGTTTACTCAAAATGAGTCAGATATTCAGGGAGATGAGTCAGGTATGAGTCAGATAGCTTATGATATGTCACTAGGAGCTAGAGAGACCACTGCATTATCGTGCTCGAAAACATAATGGTGCTAAATGAATTGGATAGACCAAGAAACGTGCTGAGGAAGATGAGAGGCTACATATGAGGGGACTACAGTAAGGTGAGAGATTTTCTGAGTGAGGTCCAGTGGGGAAGAGACTGGAGGAGGAAGATGACAGATGAGACGGTGAAAGTTATAACTCAGAAATGTACAGACGCAACGGAACTGTACAGCCCTCTCAAGAAAGAGGTAGATGAAGACGGCAAAGTTTACCCTGGTTTAATAGGGAGTACAGAGAAACAAAGGAGAGGACCAGAAAGATAACGATTCTTCGCGGCGGGGATCGTATTCCAGGGACTTGCCCGAAACGCTACGCGTACTAGTGGCTGTACAAGAATGTAACAACTCTTGTATATATCTCAAAAAAAAAAAAAAGTCATAGAAAAATACAGAGCTTGGAACAGAGGAAAGTGGAGATGCGGCTCGAAGCCAGAGTCACTGCAGCAACAGACGATCGAACACCACCACCACTCAAAACAACAACATCTTATACTTGTCTTCTCCAAATTCAGATTGGCAGGGCACTTAGTCCCGTCGCTGCCTCTAATAACAACAACTGTGTCACTAGCTTATCAAGATTACTTGCTTACCTAAATTAATTTTGGGATACAGTTTCTGAGACCATTGTGTGCCTCTGTAACCTTTTTCAGTACCGCCCACAGAATGGGTATGGGGTCCACTGCCACCCACAAGATGGGTATGAGGTCCACTGCCACCCACAAGATGGGTATGGAGTCCACTGCCACCCACAAGATGGGTATGGGGTCTACTGCCACCCACAAGATGGGTATGGGCTCTACTCCCACCCACAAGATGGGTATGTGGTCCACTGCTGCCCATGGGATGAATATGAGGTGCAGTGTAAATAAACACATCAATTCTCCAGTTGTCATCACCACTAAATCAACAACAACATGAGTTTGTCCTACAACAAATGGTCTCTAAAGAAGAGAAAAGATCTGGAAGAAAATGTAACAAACAGCTAACGACAAGTATAAAACAAGATAATTGTCATAGCAGGTTAGTGAAGCAAGTTATTGTTCTTCATTACACTTTAACCAAACCTAACCTATCCTATATAATGCCATCCTAACCTATCCTATCCTAGCACAGTTGTCTATGTCATCGCTCACAACTGAGTAGCCCAACCACTTGGGCTGGAAGGTAGTACGATGGTCTTGTTTCATGCAGGTCGGCGTTCAGTCCTCGACCGTCCAAGTGGTTGGGCCATTCCTTACCCTTCGTCCAATCCCAAATATTGATCCCTTCCAAGTGCTATATAGCTGCAATGGCCTGGCACTTTCTCCTTGTAGTTTCCTACCCTTCACAACTGAGTATCCTGGATTCAATCCCCAAACAGGACATAAGCAGTTTGACACGTTTTCTTTCACCTGATGCCTCTTCACCTAGCAGTAAATAGGTACCTGGGAATTAGGCAACTGTTATGGGTTGCATCCTGGGGAAGGTCAGTAGTTGGCCCAGAGGGACCTCGATAAGCTTAATAGACTTCATGTCCCAGACTACTGTGGGAATCCATTAGCCCTCTTTTGTATAACAAAACCAATCCTTACCTAACCTAACACACATACAAGAAAATATTTTATTTTTGTTTACATCTAATCTGTGTGAGGTGTATGAGGTCATTTTGACATAATAGAGTTACCTGTGGATATCGTTTTTTATATTGCTGCACCAAACAGATCACAAGATAACAGAGAAGAATAAGCAGGTAAGGACTGTTCTAGTGTTACCTTTGATCTGATTAGGTCAAAGTTAAGAGTGAACATTGTTATTAGGCCTGGTGTCAGGATAGATCGGAGAAATCCTCACCAAAAATAATAGACAAATACTTATATAACTAGCTTATCCCAGTGCTAAGTACAACCGCGTTAGATCAGCTGCCTGTCAGAAAACCAGCATCTGTGTTAATGAGTGCTAAACCAAGTGACACCAGTCCCTTCCTCCTCTTTGGACTCTATCAAACTTTAAAACAAAATTCATTCGTCCTTCAGCAGTGTTACATAAGGGATGGACCAATTAGTACTAACAAAATGTACACAGGCAAAAGGTATGAAATTACCAGAAACCAACAGCTATGGGCATTTTTTGCTAATTGGCATAACTGGAAACCTAGAAACCTCCACTGATATCATTCCTAAATGAATACTTAATTGACTAAGTTGAACTTAACCATGTACTATCTTGTCTTTGATCATCATTTAAGTACTGTAAGTAATTGTGCCAGTATCTGCAATATTGTACCTTACATTAACTTTTCAGTCATCTCTCCATGCACTTACCCACTTATTGTATCAGCATTTTCCTTCAAAATTAAGTGAACATTTCAACTTATTATTAATATTACTAGCTTATGTTTGTAATTCATCTGATTGACTATAGCATTAAGATTTTATTTTGTCTGGACTGATGAGTCTCTAAATACTACATCAGTTACATTTCAAGCTCCTATTTGCATATTATTTGTGCTATTAATATATGATATTGTAATAAAATCTTTACATGATTAATTATTTAAATTACATTGTACCACCCTTTTTGCTTTAAATTCTTAGGTACCTCATATAATAAATTTAAAATCATGATTGTAGCCATATTAAGTGTGTTACCATTCATACCCTAATATTTCTCATGCTCTGTGGGTTAATTTCACTGGGTAAAATTTTCATTTCAACCTATCATATGATGAACAACTTTCCTAAGCAAATCTGCACATCCCCTCACTTTGCCAAAACCTCGGACACTTGTTCAGTGTAGGGGTGAGTAATTTCTGGCTGGAAAGTGTGCGTTGCAACCAGAGATTCACCGAAATGAGGTTTGCTGAATTGAGATTGCATTGTACAGTACTACAAGTAGAATGTCTATTTGTCAGTTTGTCGAAGGTTGGAGGCCAGACACTTGGAGCTAGCTTCACTAAACTTTGCTGGATGGCTGGTTGTTGTTAGGGGGGACTGTCATAGGTAAGTCATAATTGGCCCCATTGCCCCTTTATAGAGATCGGCTTCCCATGGAAACCCCATGAAGTCAGTGGGGATAAAATGATGGTTGCTGAGTCTATAGAGTTTCATCACCTTTTCATAATAGTACAGAATTCAAATATTGATATGAAAAACACATGTTCTGATGGCAGATTTGCATTCTTGGGACTCCTAACTCTTAAATGGAGCAACCTGTTGTGGTCAACCCCAGGCACTGCCGGGTACCCCATCTTAATACGTGGTTGTACAGTATTAAGTATCAAGGTATCCCATGATACATGGATGTATCATAGGGTGTTGTTTTGTGCACCTTTGTAGAATGAATCATAACACTGCTCTTTTTCAAGAATATTTTGGGGATTATCTGACTAATGAACTCCTTCCTAAACTGAGGACTAGATTGTGGCACCATTTAGATACCAATCCATGGGGCTCTACAATAGTTGCCCTGCAACAGGGCAGACAGGAAGCCATTGGCTTGTGGAAGGTTCCACACTCTAACTAATAAATTTTTCAAATAGTTTTTAAACTGGATTAGTCTTGATATTTATGGCTTCAGTGGATAAGAGATTCCATGGGTTTATTACTAATCAGTGAAAAAGCATTTGTTATTTGCCTTACAGTGTGGGTTGTTGAGCTTGAAACTGTTGCACCTTGTGAGAGTTACATTCGATCGTTGAGGACATGGTCTAATTTAATATCTTGTACTTGGTTAAATATTTGAGGTCTTGATATGCTTACCTCTGCCATGTCTTGTTTGCTGAATTGATAGCCTTGTGGCCATGATCCCTACAGTATAAAGTAGGTTAACATAGCAAGATATGTATGAGGAGCATAGTGATAATTGTTATACTTGTAACTACCTACTGGCCTATATCCAATATACCCACTATATTTTTAAGGTTTAATATTCAGATGAGTCTCTACCTTCTCCTAAAAAAAGCATTGTGCAGTCTCTGATATTGGCTGCTCAATGAAGACATGAAAAACAAGTGTCACTGAGATGGTATTGATGCATAACTGCTTTAGTATTCATTAAGAGCAAATTAAGAGAAACTCCTTCAACACAAATGGTAGATTAGAGAATGGGTAATATTGGGTATAAAATATAGTATATAATGTCTAACTTTTCCTTAACCAGAGTGTGTGGGGCTCCACAGGGCCCTTTTCACAGGTGGTGTGGGAGTCAACAAGAGCTGTGGGTGTAGGCTGCGCCAGGGGGTCTGACAGCCGCATGGTAGTGGTAGCGCGCTACTGGCCACAGGGTAACATCGGAGGCCAGTTCAGCACCAATGTCAAGCCCCCCACCAGTGACTGCCCCCTCACTCCTGTCAACACTGGAACACCAACCATGTCCCGTACCCGTCAGGAGGCGCACTTCTATGTCAGTATTGCCCTGGAACCTCCAGGGAAGAACAAAAAGGTTGAGAAAGAGAAGATCGTTGCAGCCCTTAAACTGCCAACCAAAAAGATAATTGGTGATGATGGAGTGTCTGGGGAAACGCTACTGGCACACCCCACAACTTTGGAAACCTTAGGCCACTCCTTCACTGTTTGTCGCAATGGCGCTGTCAGAACCTCCAAGTTGTTTCCCATCTGCTGTGTGACACCTGCCAAGACAGAAGAGCGATGGGCAACCCCTAGCACTCGCACCCAATACCAGACACAGCAGCCACAGTCTCAAGCTGACTTGGCCATTATCAGACGAACAGTAGAGGAGGTGAGACCAGGATGCACAGGCTCCAAATTAGAAACTGGAGTGCACCTCAGTGCAGAACCTTTACAGAAATATAAATCTAACTTAAAAGCATCTACTAGGTTAGGGGTCTCACCAAGACTAGCAGTTTCACCTAGATTAGGAGTCACAACTAGACTAGGAACATCGCCTAAATTGGGTGCTCTACCAAAAATTGCTGCCTCCAGAATGACTGGATCACCTAAGCTTATTGCCACCTCTCGGTTTGGCGGGTCACCTAAGCGAGGCTCGCCTAAACGCTCAGTGTTGCGACGTGGTGGCTCCCCCAAGCCAGGATCATCACCTCGTCGAAGTGCCACCTCACGTCTCCGGGCTTTGACAGCGGCTGGGGAACATAGTGTTATTGTTGCCACGCTCTAGCAAAAAACCAAACTATGCAGGACGAGTGATTGTTTTATTGTTAATACAGTATTGTTACCACGGTGGCCCTATGAACCCACAAAACAAGTTAAAACAAATTTTCAGTTAATTTCAATCACAGAAATGTGAGTGTGTGTGTGTGTGCAACGCAGGAGAGGTGCATGATGCAGGAGTGTGTGGTGGCCTCAAGGTTGTAGCAAGTGGCTCTATATACATACTACACAGCTCCCTAGTGTGTAACAGCACTGGCCTGGCAACATGAAGTACCCTGCTCACCCTGCTACCTTAGTGAGTCTGTTGCTCTGCACACCTGTAGCTGCATTCATAATGCCCAAAGCACTTATTTCGCTCATTCACATTAACATTCTATAAATCTTTAGCCTCATCAATTATGTGCACCTCGTCTACAGTTCCAGACTTGATTCTTCAGTGTCAACAGCTGGTGCAGTGTGGGCAGCTGGTGCAGTGTTGGCAGCTGGTGCAGTGTAGACAGTGCAGGTCAGTCCTGTGGTGCTACATGGGCAGTGTGTATCTGTGTAGGGTATAACTAAGTCAAGGTTTGTAGGTCCCATTCCAGCTCAACAAATGCGCTTATGACCCATTACATTCAAGACAATCAGAACCCTTGCAAAAAACAAGTTTTGAACGTTAGCCGTTCTTGCAGCCGTAATAATTAACTATAAAAAACTTGCCCAATTATCCTGTGGTCTTATAAATTTCAAACTCTGCATAAGATCAATTGCAATATACTGGATGTCCTTGGATGTAATGTCTATGAGTCGTGAGTGTGATTTTGAATATATCAGTAAGTGATAAACAAAACGTGGTAATGAACTCTCTTGTCTGATCATGCAATTTAAAAGTGTGACATGACTCAGTCCAGGAGTTGTAACATGTTAGTGCCAAGATAGGATAAGTTCCTCTTGACTTATTGTGCTAAAAATAACAAATTGTGCTATTTTCTTAGTTTGGCCTTAAGGCTTCGTCAATCCCCGCAAGCATCACCACCACATATTTTATACATTTTTCTTGTTTGACCCTAATTGACTCCATTCCCTTCTCACCCCACCTCGCTAACATATCACAGAGCAATGCTCCCATTGGAGCCATCCTCTCTCGCTCACCTACCCTTTACCTTGAATCTAGTGGGGACCACCTTGCTGATGGCACTCTGGGGACTGACCTTATTAAGCAATATTGTGGTAGCTGATTTGGCTGATCTTATTACAGGATTCTGTTGAAAGGCTGATTTGTCAGTGAGGGATTAGAGAGGAATTTTTGAGTTCGAGGGTTTTGGGATGCACATTAAAACGAGTTCTGTGGGAGACTGACTTCATTCGAAGCTGTAGTGGGTACCTTGATGAGGGGACATGTAGGGATTGACCTTGTTGTGGGGAGGACTGACTTTACTGGTGTCTTTTCCACTGGGTGGGGTTCCAGGGTGTGACATGACTTGGACTTATCATAAAAGGGGGTTTTAGGACCGAGTTAATAATGAGGATAATCCAGAGTACTAGCTAAGTGGAAAGTAGAAGTTAGGAAGATTGATGGATATGACCAGCTGATGACCAAGAAAGATAGATGGAGATGACCTGGGTAGGTAAATGATTACCAGGAAAGGTAGACAGATGCAAGCACAGAAGAGGAAAGGAAGCTCATAATTAAGCAATGGAATAAGAAACATGTGAAAAAGCATTAGAGAGGCAAAACTTACGGAATGGAAAGATTAATATTTTAACCAAAGATAAAGATATTATATGAGAATAACGAAAAGTATAGATCATTCGCTCAGATCATCAGGAATTTGAGTTTGGACCCCAAAAGTATTAGACTGTCGTCTCATACTTTTGAGGCCAGAGTTGGATTCCGTGATGGTCTAAGTTAATGAAATGTTACTACCCACGCTATTGTGGATTGTGTCTTTAGCGATATACAGTATTAATCACATCAGACTAATAGGGATTAAAATAGATCAAAGCCACAGCCAGAAGTTTAAGATATAATAACTTCAATCCTCAAATGCCCATATGTAGTGCATATTACAAGGCCAGTCACTGCAACACTTGCTACATAGGCAACTATTCTTAAGTCCACACCTTCACGCAAAGCCAAAATTGCACAAGTAGGAAAGGTTAGAATAAGATATTTAGATAAAACACTGAGGACAGTTTTGCGAGATTGGTCCGTTAATTCGGAAAATTACAAGTTGTGATATTTGCACAAGTAATTGTCTGGCTCTCAGTTAAAATCATGGTGGTCTGAAGGAAATATACCTACATTGTTGACCTGTCTGTGATGATGGTCTTTTGTCAAACCCAGAAAGGTATAAAGTCTTTAAAATGTTATCTATCAGACAGATGAGCTATGTTTCAGCTTCATATAAGAAACTTTGGTAGCACATCTATATAATTCAGTATATTACAGTATACTGTGTATGTATGTATGTATGTATGTATGTATGTATGTATGTATGTATGTATGTATGTATGTATGTATGCATATATATATATATATATATATATATATATATATATATATATATATATATATATATATATATATATATATATATATATATATATATATATATATATATATATATATATATATATATATATATATATATATATATATATATATATATATATATATATATATACACACATATATATACATACACAGTATATGTAATTATATACAGTATTTATTTATTTTTCATTTGTACAAGTATTTTATGATTTATCAAAAATTTCCTTTTTTCCTTTTAACTGTATTTGATGTCTTAGCATAACAGCCACAGGGTTTTTTGTATATTTTCTAATACAATATAGTATTTCCTTTAAGAATAGTTTACCCCCTAATAATAACATATATTTATAACATGAATTTGTAACTTGCACCTAGTTATACCTAGGTTAACCAGTACTGGGGTACTGAGAACAACTCAGCATGTTTTAGTAAGTCAACAGGTCAGGTTTCTAAGTTTTGACTAGTATTAAATACAAGCCTTATGTACATTACAATGATAAACTGTCATTTCATATCAGAAATTTTAGTAAAAATTTATTTAAGAAAATTTGGCTTGTTAGGCAATGCTGGTTATTAAGTTCAACACACACACACACACGATATATTATATGATATATATTAATCTCCATGCATATATAAATGTGTGTATATATACTCATCGCACACAGAGTAATGCCCTTCAAATTGATCTAGATAAAATAAATGCTTAGAGCGTCAAGTGGCAAATGGTATTCAATGTGAATAAATGCCATGTTATGGAATGTGGAAATAGAGAACATAGAGTACACAACTTACAAATTATGTACACACAATGTGGAAAGGAATTACAGAACTCTAATGAAGAACGAGACCTAGGGTTTTTTTTTTTGGATAATAAGCTGCTGCCAGAGGAACACACAAAGAACATTGAGAGAGGAGCGTATGCGTCACTTTCCAACTTCAGGCTTAATTTTAATTATATGGATGGTGAAATACTAAAGAAACTGTTCATGACTTTTGTGAGACCAAAATTGGAATACAGTATACATTAGTTTTATGGTGCCCAAATCTCAAGAAGCACAAAAATAAACTGGAAAAGGTGCAGCAGCATGCTACGAAATGGCTTCCAGAGCTGAAAACAAGAGTTAAAAGGAGAGACTTGAGGTGTTAAATAATGCCAAAACTAGAAGATAGAAGAAAAAGAGGTGATATGATCACCACTTACAAAATACTAACAGGAATAGACCAAATTAACAAAGAGGAATTCCTGAAACCAGCGACTTCGCGAACAAGAGGACATATATTCAACCTAAGAAAACAGAGGTACAGTACCAAAAAATATTAGAAAATTTTCTTTTGCAGAGTGGTAGATAGGTGGAACAAACTATGTGAGAAGGTGATGGAGGCCAAAACCGTGGTAAGGGTAGTTTCAAAGCATTATACGACAAAGAGTACTGGGAAGACGGGACACCATGAGCCTAGCTCTCATCCTGTAACTACACCTAGGTAATTACAGTCACGTAATTATATACACACACACACACACACACACACACACACACACACACACATACACTCACTCTCTCACACTCACTCACTCACTTGCAGCAGAGGAGCTCCAGCATATTTCAACAATCCTAAGTATTGTAGTACAGGTTGATGGTAGTGAGTGGTGTCCCAGAGAACATAAAGGTATAGTGCTCTTGAAAAATAGGTGAGATAACAGGAAAGTGCTAAGGGAAGTGAAAAATCGGATGAGAAAAAGTTGCCCTAGTGTTTACAGTGCAGAGAAGAACATTCAAGATGGCCACTGGCAAGGGGAAAAACAAAACAGAGCTTGATTTTGAGGGATTCAATGAAGAAAGCATTGATATTAGTAGTCTACATAACAAGTTGGTAAATTTAGATACTATAGTGAACTCTCATGTAGAAATAATTAGTAAATTGAAAGAAAGTAATGACCATTTGAATAGCAAAGTTTTATGTCTTGAGGGTTTAGTGAAAGACTTGCGCAAGGATAAGAATCAATTGGAAACAAATTGCAAAGCCATGGAAGAAGAAAATAAACTCTTAAAAATAGCTTTGGAAGAAGTTAAAGTAAATTTAAACATAAATGACTACAATAGGTTAGGCAAGGAAATTCAACAGGAGAAACAGCTTTTGTCAGCACAGATGGAGGAAGTTACACAGGGAATAGAACAGTGCAAGAAAGATATGCAACTCACTTATGCACAAGTGGCCAAGGAGAAGGAAAAAATAGAAGAAGCAGTAAAGGAAGTCAAACACTGCAGCAACCAAGATAAAACAAACATTAGGCTAGAAGTGAGGAAAGAATTGGCATCTAACCCGAAGTTGGTGCAAAACACAGTTGATCGGAGTAAGTCCCTGATCATTTTTGGCTGCAAAGAAAAGGCGATAACATCTAGGTCAGAAAGAGCTGTAGAAGAAGCTAAAGTAGTAGATAAAATTGTTGGCCTCGTGGAAGGTCTTACAAACAGAGAGAATGTGTGCGACTACAGGAGAATAGGCAGGTACGTAAAAGGGAAAGATCGACCTTTGAGGATCACCCTAAACGGTGCCAAACAGATGGAAGAAGTACTAAGGAATGCTAGAAAATTGCAAAGGGATGAGGATGGGAAAGGGTGGTCATTAAGACGAGATCTTTCAAAAGAAGATAGAGAGAAGCTGAAACTGAACCTCGCCGAGGCAAAACATTTAAATGAGAGCAGGAATGAAGAAGAAATAAATTCTTTTTTCTACAAAGTATTAGGGGTAGGCAAACCAGTAAAGTGGTACATAAAGGCAAACCAACAAAATCAATAGAGAGAGGGGGAGTGAAGAATAAGGAGAGGGGGAACAAGTTCCTGAAGATTGCATACACCAACATAGATGGAGTGAGATCGAAGATACTGGAGTTAAGTGATGTAATACAGCTGCAGACACCAGACATTGTTGCACTCACGGAGACAAAACTTGAAGATGTAATTTTAAATGAGGTCATATTCCCAAGGGGCTACTCAATTTGGAGACGGGACAGAAAAATTAGGAAAGGCGGTGGCGTTGCTGTGCTGGTAAAAGAACACCTAAAGGTGAAGGAAATAATGACTGCCAATCCACAAGAAGTTGACATAATAGCACTAGAGATCTGCTATGAGGATGATAAACTAATGATGATAAATGCATATAGTCCACCGCCAAGCAGCACATGGTCAAAGGAGGAGCTAGATAGTAAACGTGAAGGTCTTATAACAATAATGAGAGAGATTATAGCGAGAGCGGATAACGATAGATCACGACTGTTGATAGTCGGTGACTTCAACTTGAAATCCATAGACTGGGAAGCATATGAAGCTAAAACAGAAGATTTTTGGACCTGTAAATTTGTAGACCTCATCCTGGAAACATTCTTGTATCAACATGTTAAACAAGCTACGAGGATGAGGGAAGGGGACGTTCCCTCCATGCTAGATTTGATATTTACCAGGAAGGAGGAAGAGATATTTGACATTCAGTACCTTCCTCCCTTGGGTAAAAGTGACCATGTCTTTTTGGGAATAAAGTATGCAATGCGTTATAAGCTGGAAGAAAATAAGGAGGTTGAAGCAGTTGAAAAACCAGACTTCAGGAGAGGACATTATGGTGACCTTAGAAATTTTTTTAGTGAGTATAATTGGACAGACTTGATGCTAGGCAAGGAAGTGAATGAGATGTATGGCAAGTTTTGTGAAATATATGATAAAGGCACAAAAAAATTTATACCAAAACAGAGATGCAGAACTAGGAAACAGGATTGGTTCAATAGAAATTGCGAGAGGGCTAGAGACCGAAAGACACAAAAATGGAATCAATACAGGAAGAGGCCGAACCCCCAAACATACCAGCGATACAAAGATGCGAGAAACAACTACACGGCAGTGAGGAGAGAGGCAGAAAGAAATTTTGAAAAAGGGATTGCGGACAAATGTAAAACAGAACCAGGTCTATTCTATAAATTCATAAACAACAAATTGCAGGTAAAGGATAATATTCAGAGGTTGAAAATGGGAAATAGATTCATGGAAGATGAAAAGGAAATGTGTGAAACACTAAACGAAAAGTTCCAAAGTGTGTTTGTACAAAATGAAATCTTTAGGGAACCAGATACAATAAGAATTCCGGAGAACAACATAGAACACATAGAGGTGTCTAGAGACGACGTGGAAAAAATGCTCAAGGAGCTCGGTAAGAACAAAGCAGCTGGCCCAGATGGCGTTTCACCATCAATCCCCTGTGACTGAGCTCAGAATTACCTCTTCACCTGATCCACAGTCTCTCTCCTTCTTCACTACTTCCTGGGAAGCCTCACTAGGACAAGGGCAAACACCAGCAAATTGGGATACATTTACTGGACAAAGCACATACACGATACATACACACATATAATAATAATGAATCCTATACTCTATAATATCACAATCAGGTTGCACTCCAACACCATCAGAACTCTATTATCAGCTTATCAAGTGGTATCCTATCTCATGGTTCACCACCTGATACTATCAACCTCCTCAAGTTGATCAAGTCTACATACACTGTTGCACCATCAGCAAGATAACACATATATATATAGAAAATCAGCATTTGAATGCAATAACATATACCAGTATAAATGTTCATTGATACTTCAGTATAAAAAAACTCCTTGACATAAGAATGCCAACAGTCACTCACCTCTCACTGCGTCTTGCACGCTAATGACAACCAAACACTATCAACTCCCTACTAGTAATCCACCAGAACTTCCCCTTCCACCTCTGGAAGTTCACAACCCTAATATCCTTAGGTTCTTCCGGGCTTCACTACCCGGATCCTCTGCAGCTCCTCCCGGCTGCTATCATGAAGTTTCCTTGTGCAACTACGGTGCTTCACCACCTCTACAGAAGCACGTGACACTCCTCTTCACTGCTGC